CCGACCGAAAAAACTCGTCCAAGGCAAGCTACGTGTCACACGAGCCGAACCCGACCATATTCGTCAGCTTGGTATCTGCCGATCATACGACAGTCGAAAGATCTCACCACTATACATGATTTTGAAGAAGCTCATGGGAGACTGTCGTCCTTATGGTGATTATATTATCTTGAAGAATGTTACCAGGCATGAACGCTGTCCGACCTCGCACACTGCGAATCGCATCACCAGCCAAGCCGGTAATAAAGTTAATAGCAAAATAGACTTGCTACGCACATTTGGCCAAATTCCGGTAGCAGAAGTGGATATCGCTAAAAATGTGCGACGACTCTGATTTATCAGAAATCATTTCAGGGTAAAGAATTCTTTTCGGTGAAATGTACCGTCAGATTGACGGAGTGGCAATGGGATCTCCTTTGGGGCCGCTGCTGGCTGATGTATTCATGGCGAAACTGGAACATGACCCACTTGCAACGCACATCCATGAAACCGAAATGTACGTACGGTATGTGGATGACACCTTCGTACTTTGCAAATCCGAAAAGCATGCGGAACAGTTGCTGAAAGCTTTCAATGACGCACACAAGAATCTTCAATTCACTTGTGAACACGAACTCGGAAACCGGTTACCTTTCTTGGATGTAGAAGTTATCCGTAACTCAGACGGATCATGTAGCAGAAAGGTACACAGAAAGCACACATGGACTGGGCAGTACACTAACTTCCACAGCGCAGTACCACTACAGCACAAGCGGAGTTTAATCAGATCTCTCGCCTTCAGGGCGCGCAGTATTTGTACACCGGATACCGTCAACGAAGAACTACAGAGAATCAGCGACGTCCTCAGGGAAAATGGATATCCGGATAAATTTATCATGAAACATTTGAAAGAACGTAATCGAAAGCCACCTAGGAGCATTGCTCCTAAGAAAGAGCTTTTCATACATGTACCCTTTAAGGGCGATTCTGCAACTGATATGTTATCCAGACGCCTGAAAGATGCTGTCGAGAAAACTTATTTCGCGGCCCGCCTGAGAATCGTTTTTCACAATAAGCCGTTGCTTACAAAACCCTTGAAGGATAGACTATCGCCATTGACCCATTCAATGATCATTTATCAGTACTCGTGCTCCTGTGGTGCACGATACGTGGGTCGCACGACGAGACGCCTATCTCAGAGGGTTCGTGAACACATCCCGGCATGGTTTTACAGAGGCGAAATGAGGTCTTCAGACAGCTCTATCATGTCGCACCTCCTTGAATGCGGCCATACAGCTTCAGAGAATGACTTCAAAGTCATTTACTCATTACCTGAACACTTCTTTCAAGGATTCCGCAAACAGCTCTTATCCATCGCCGAGGCTAGGTACATTCACCATCTAAAGCCGAAATTATGTGTCCAAAAACGATTTATACGGCCGATATTACTACCTTGGCCAACGGACACCGTTACTTAGTTATTTGGACGTCATCTTACCTACTTAATTACCTTGTACTAATGAGAATTGTGTACATATGCTTATTTAGTTTACTTGATCTACCATCTCTATCTCTGTCTCAAGTTATCGATTTTGATCATTCAAACAGTCAAGAAGTCAATCCCAGCCCCAGTTGACGCTATATCCACAATCACTGTTATGTAAAAGTTTGGGTCTGATGAGATTTACCGAAAAGAATTCTTTACCCTGAAATGATTTCTGATATTGATTCATATTAATGAAATGGGAATCTTTGCTTTGCTGAAGATCAGCATTGCCCGTGATTCATTGAGACTCTGATTTACGCGGGTTTATGCGTATGCCGTTTGGTCTTATAATGCTGCACAAACTTTCAACGCCGCATCGATTAGGCTTGTCGTGGCTTAGATTTTACTTGCGTATATCTCGACGACATTCAAATTGCTAGCTGCTCTGCCGAGGAGCACTCGCGCCATGTGAAAACACTTTGTGATCGTTTATCCCAACACGAAGTAACGATCAACGCAGAAAAGGGTTCGGTTGGTGTAAACTAAAAAAATACTAGCCAGCTATACGCCGTAACGGCGCTTCGCTGCCACGCGACCACCATCAGTCGCGCGTGGGCTGAGTATACCGCGGGGACGCCAACCACTACGCGGATTCGTACCGGTGACCTTATGGTTGTAAATCAGACGCGCATGTCACTCGACTGCTGGCATTGTAATAATTAATAATTTGTCAGCTGTGCGACATAACGGCGCTTCGCCGACTTGCGACCACCATCAGTCGCACGCGAGCTATGTATATTGCAAGGACGCCTACCCCTACGCATTGTACAACTGCAAGCTAAAATAAAAGCCATTATCAACTACACCAAGGCATATTCGTTCAAACAGCTCAGACATTTTGACAGCCACGTTAACTTTACCCGCTGCTTCCTAAACGAAGTTTGTCGCTCACGTAGTCCCGCACAACCTGCTCTGAGGAAAACTTAAGAAATTAGACTTTATTGCTGTATCAAGCGCTGCGTTTACAGCTTTAAAGGAGACTGGCACCAACACAACCTTTCTAAATTATCAAGGCCGACGGCCAAAGTGACTCTCAATACCAACGCTAACGACTTGGCGGTTTAAGTGTCTTGCAGCAGCAGGTAGGTGTTTTATAACGACCGCTGGTGGCTTACTCTAATCTCCTGCCGCCTGCCGAAGCTTGCTACAGTACGCTCGATAAAGACATGTTGGCCATACTTCATACCAAACGTGTCTTAAACGGCCGCACTTTTGCCGTATTCACCGTGTACAGACCCCTGAGTTACGAAGGTGGCTCCACAATCAACTGATATTCTCCTAGAGAGTAATGTAATCTAGATTAGATCGCTCAGTTTACGAACAATATAAGCAATGTCTCAGGTGTACATAACGCCATCGCCGACGCATTATCTCGTGCGTAAGCGATTTTCGTTAATGACTTCGTAGCCATGGACGCCGCACAACTCAGTGATCCTAAGGTAGGTCTATCACGCAGGTCCACCTCACTGGACATGCGCCCCTTTCCGCTGACTTCATCATATGGAACTATTCTCTGTGGCACATAGTTGAAAAAACCGCGCCTAGTCCTACCAGGAGAATTTCGACAGACCGCATTACACACCTCAAACGGTTTCTCAGCCGGGCGTTTGTACATAGGTTGAACTCGCACCCGCTAGGTCTGTTCGGCGAAACGCCAAGCGCAATGTTCACAATTGGATGGTTGCTTGCATTCCATGTCAAGTTTCTAAAGCTAGACGCACGTGTACACCAGATGCACGTGCACCTCGTAGGTTCTCTGCTGCCTTCGAAAGGCACGGTACACCTATTGACTTGCATCGACCGATTCACCAGGGAGCCGAAGGTTATCCCGATACCAAGCTCTTCGGAAACAGTACTAAAGCTATTCTCAGAGCGCTTGGTAACACAGTATGGCTGACCAGCCATTGTGACCATCGATAAATGGTCATGTTTCTCGTCCACTTTCGTAGTGTTGCTTAAGGATCTAGGTTATCGCCACATCTAGATAAGGGCGGATTATCCGGCCACTAAGGGCATGTTTGAGCGATTTCGCTGCTAGCTGCAGGCAGCTGGCAGCAGCTCATTTATAGCGCAAAACTGTTCCACTTGTCTTCCTGGGCTTAAAGAACACTATAAAACCTATTTCAACGCTACGGCAGCGCAGATGGTCTACGACAGCGCGCTGCGTTTGATTGGACAACTAGAAAAACTATAATCGTACACTATCACTCACGAAGAAAGAAGTTATACTGACTGATTTATTCACTAGATGCTTGAGATGTGCTCTGCTGCTTCACAGTTGCAGAATACACCGGTGTACAAGCCCAGAAAACTGTATACTTACACCTACAACTTCACGTAGAAGGCGTTCGACAGTCGTTGCAGTCGCCGTACATCGGGCCATTCAAATCCATCAACCGTACAAATATGATTTTTCGAACGAGAGTGGGGACCGAAAAGAAATGTTAAATATCGACCGTGTAAAACTAGCTTATACATCAAAAGCACCCTACCTCCAACTTCTAGCAATGATTCGTGCGACGTTACAATTGACCCCGCCAATTTTTAGCAGCAGAACGCCGTAAAACCCGAAAACCATCCTGGTTTACAGGCATCTACCGTCGTGATATCTACAGAATCTAATCTGCCCCCTCCAACGACCAGCCGCAGTGGTTGGAAGGTTCGTAAGTCTGTTTGCACTTTCGATTGCGCAAAGTGTGTTAAAAATGGTTAATAATATATATGCTTGCCACGGTTTGTTTGATAAACACTTAAAGAAAATAAAAACCATTAAATAATACTAAAATATTCGAAAAACAAGGAAGGTAAACAAGTAAATCTGTACCCTCTTATTGCTTACGTTTTCCTTTTCTGTTCATATTTGTCTCACCCCTCCATGCAAATTTACAGCTCTTCACGAGCAATGCCTTCTACGTTTGCAATCAAATAAAGAATCAAACACGAAAACTGGACGGTTCTTCGTGGGGCCTTAGTCGCTGAGCAGGGTGCGGCGGACAGAGAAGCCACTCCCAAGGACATCATTTGGCAGCGGCAGAGGTTGGAGTACTCTCGGGCTTTATTACGGGTTATGTGGTTTTTGAAATCCAACAAATTTGCTCCAATGGTTCGCCCTGAAGCATCCCGGCCTTAAAGCAATTAAATTATAAACTACGAACCACCCAACGGATTCTGCATCCTGACGAACACTCGTTCGACGAGAACAACTGTGTACTTTATCACTCCGCAATGATATCTGCGCTGGATTGCTACATTGTCATGGGCTAGTATTTACTAGTCCTGGATCGTCTATATTTTATTTTGCAAACCGAAAGCTTATGTTGTCTTTCAGAAGAACTGCTGGTACTACATTCAGACAAAATAACTGATTAAACATGGTATAGTTATCAGAAAACAGTGACTCATGAGTTACTGCATAGCTATAACAAGCAAAGCGGTCCGTCATCGTTATGGGTTCAGAACTATGTGTCTCAGCTGTTTAAAATAAGTAAGTGCTAAATACAAATGCACTAAACTCACCATCTTCGTCATAAAGTTCGTCCGTATTTTTGTCATGGTCTTCTTCCGGATGAACATTTTCATCCTCTTCATCTTCTTCAGCATTTTCCTCTTCCGAGAGTATAGTCTCGACGACAAAATAGTTCTGCATTAGCCCAAAAACCTTTCCCCAAAATCGCGCTGAAATTATAGGCTGGCTCTTCATTAGTGCTTTGATAGCGAGCGTTAACTGAACACATTCAACAGTGTTGAAACCGATTCCTGCTGTTTCAAATCGGTAAAATACATCAGCCAAGTTAGGAAGTGATTCCTCGACATCTGTATCTATGCCAGAAGCTTCATATTTGTCTTCCTCTGACTGCTTAAGCAGTAAATTTCACATAAACACAAATTTGAAATCATACAAACCAGGTATAATCCATGCTGAGTCTTAGAAAATGAGAGTTCAATAGGGTTTTTTCGGACATGAGCTGGGGTTTTACTTTTACGGTGCAACTCTTTGACAGATTTGCTAATGGCTTCAAATTCTTCGAAACCCGTTGATTTTTGTGAAGACAATATATGTGTTAGACATTCCTTCAAATACGTGTATCTAATTAATTGTACTAATAACAAGGACTGGCTTACGCGTCTAACCCGTCAGCGTTTTTGATCTCTAAAAGTAGCGACTTATCATTTAGAGCAGCAACAGCGCACATGTTCTCAGGGCGTCGGATTCGCGGGTGTAAGAAGCCAGGAATTTGGGCGGCGTTTGATAGTAGGTTAACACTACAAGTAGAATTATAGCAAGAGTCAGCATGCCTTTGCCATAAACCCTAAATTTTAAATGTTGTTTTGCTGATGCGAAAGGTTTTGGATTCATGGATAAGGTAAACGTTAGAGTTACACTTCAGCATTGAAAATAAAACCTGAGATGATAACTGTAAAAATGCTTGCCATTACATACCTGGTAAGTTTCTGCTAGAAACAATAAAAAATGTGAAGTATTTTTGCGTATTCACCGGCAAAACTGCAACGGTATAAAAGGTTCAAATTCCCGCTTTTTACGAATTTAACGACGTGGAAACGTCCTTCTTACTGCTTCGAAAACTTCATACCTCTATCGTGATGGTTACGTTAAGTAAAACGAACCAGAAGCCAAAGAACGTGATCCAAGGAGAAATAAGCTATCACTTAATTAGCGACACCTTCTGTGTGCCAAGAAGAAAGAACATCTCTCGGCACTTCCACTTGATAAAGGATTCTTGCGCATAGAAAAAAGAAAGTAAAACTATTGCAAAAACTCACTACATTTTTAAGTAGTTGCATAAGCTGCCTCAACGTGGCTAGTTGCTGCTTTTATAACAGAAGAATTCGGGGAACAGAGCTTAACACCTTTCATCCAGGCTTCGTTTGAAGTCCTCTACCGTCCTACATTATGATAATAAATATGAAAGTTTATTCCAACTCGGCTCTACATATTTGAGGAGAATTTAGTCCTTATACCCAGACTAAATCTTTGGCGTTTCAAAGTTAATCTATGACTCAGCAAGTGACACGGCGTTGATGGTTCAAGAGATAGGTTGGGGTGACGCCACTGGGTCCCCTAATACTCATTGGATCATCCTTGTATCATTATAAGGTGGAGAGCAGAAGGAGAGTCCTTTAGCAGCTCCATCGTTTTCCATTCATTGCGGACGTTGCTGGGATCACTGCGAAACTAACGTTTCACAATGAATTTAAAGCTATGTTATGTAACAATATACAGGCACAATTATCAAGTGGGAATCTAACGGTTTCCTGAAACTATCCGCGGACAGCGCATCAAGACAGAGCTCCAGCAGGCAATCTCAGTCATTAAACCGTGCGTGGAACACGCTAGTTCGGACCGCACATGGAGCCTTCTCGACTTGAACAGGTTCCATATGTGACCACGTGTTAACCTTTCAATATTCAGATGAAAGAACTGCTGTACCTGGTTTCCTAGCTCTCCTCTTAGAATACTTCGAGGGTAGATTGGAAAGCCGCGACGACGACGGTAAGCTAGAGAAAAGTTATAATCGCTGGAGACGGAGAGGCTAAGATAGGCACCGCAGCTCTGGTACCTATTTAGATACACGGCGTTTGACCCCAACTATCATATCGCATGGATTTCCGTGAGAGGTTATGCAGCTGGCAAACCGTACTCGAGAATTTTACGCACATGTGAGGAAAACGGGTCTGAAGAGTTTTGGAGTAAGACAGGAGAATGCTCTTGGTAAGGCGTGAAACATCCTGTAAGCTGCCGCGACCCTTTTCCGGGTGTCCTCAGTTGTTTTAATGTAAGGAGACACATTTACTCCGAGATCCATTTACCGCGCGACATTTTTAAGCAAGAAACCACCAATATGGTATACCCCAAATGGTTCGCGAGCACCAACCGGGAGTATGGAGTTTTTATCCCGGTTGCTAGGTAAATGCCATTTTACCGACCAGACGTGGAGCCTATTGAGTGCTGCTTGGAGCCAGGCTGCATCCACTAGACTGGATACCACAATCCAACCTTTCAAGTCACCTGAAAAAATCAAATATTTCGCCTGCATTTCGTACGAGTGGTCGTTAATTAGGACATTAAAGAGTACAAGGACAGAACCCTGTGGAACACCACTGGTCGTAAGGAAAAGATCAGCAAGCATGTCATTCATCCTTACCAACGCAGAGTGACTGTCCAGGAACTCGGAAATCAATGATAGAAACTTCCCAGCAACGCCAATTCTGCGAAGTTTGAAAAGAAGGCGCCTACGCAGAACCTTGCCAATGGCCTTGCTAAAAGCAACAAACACAACAGCTAATCAATTATCAACATCTAGTGATCCCAAACATTTCTTCCTTGCTAAAGCAGGTTTGTGATGCATGGGGAACGCTTAGAAATCCATGCTGGGCACAAGAGATCAAAGCTATCTTTTCGAGATAGAGGCAGAGCGCGCGTTTTAGTGTCTGTGCCATAGTTTTGCACACTACAGACATAAAACAAATAGGACGATAATTCGTTGGACCATGTCGTCTTCCTCCTTTATAATTAGGCTTGATTATGACCGATTTCCAGGCAGCCGGACGGCGTCCAGTATCAAAAAGAGACGGAATACCTGCCAGATAGGTGCGGTAATGTACTCGGCTAAATGTTTAAGGAACAATGGGTGTAGGCCATTAAGGCCAGGCGAAAAAGACGGATTGAAATCAAGAAATGGCTTCAGTAGAAATTCGGCGTTAATATCCAAGTGCTCTACCAATGAAGGTAGGATTGACAAGAAGCTGTGACGACATTTTTGCGACATTTTTGCTGACTTCACGGAGGAATATTACTTAACTAAGACAGGGATGCCACTGCCGGCTGCGGTACTTCGGTTGATGTACGAGAAAAGTGCTTTGGATGTGGTCCTGGAAATGCTAGCTAACGACAGTTCCTATAGTTGTCGTTGCTCCCCTTTCTGCAAAGCACAAACATTCCTGACTGTTTTATAGCGAGAATATTCGAGGTCTGATCGTGCTAGCTCAAAACCTTCCACAGTTTTTGCTTTTTGTTCAAAAGGGCTCCTAATGTGCGAGATATCCAAAATGGACCTATAGAAAAAGGTCTGCTCTTAGAGACAGGAACGATCTGTTTGATAAGCGACATCGGCTTGGAGTAAAACAGATTCCACGCACCATCAATATTGAGCCGCCTAGTGATACTCTTATCCAGAAGGCTTGCAGACCTTGTCAAATGAATGGCATCTACACGCCAGAAATTCCGGCGGTCGATACATTGGCTGTGGACATCGATGGGACGAGTCCACTTAAAAGAAACAGCAACGTGTGCACTTATGCCTATGGGCTCGATAACAGCTAGGCTTTTGGTGTCTGACTGCGATGAGGAAAACACATGGTCTAGGATATGCGGTGTCTGATCTAGAAAAATAAATAGATAAATAAACTTTTATCCGCGACAATGCGATGCACACCTTTACAGGCATGATCATGTTTAACTATCAGCGTGATCAACAATGTACGAAAAGTACATGTTTGGCATAACATTTTAGGTAAGTGTAATGGTGTATATACGTATGTAAAGGTGTATGAATGTAGCTTGTGTTTTTGAATGTGCTGCAGTATTTCTGGCTACATATGAGAATGTGAGAATAAGCGATTGATGTCCGTGGGTTAGGTAGCATTTTCCGGATATCCACCAGCCAATTACTTTAGTTTGTAGCGAGTCACCTCCACCATGTCGCAGTGTTAATAAGCAGATATCTGTGGCATTTTATAGGGAGAACGTTTGCCAGGTGAAAACCCACCACATCCTGGAACACTGCCGCCGAACTATTTGCCGGAATGAGTTAAGCCCGAACCACCCAGCTGGCACCACGAGGAGGTTGTTCGGCTAGCCAGCCCAGCTGGCGTCATGGCACGTTGGCTTAAAGTAAGGCGGCATTAAAGTGGTCGTATGGATGAGCACCCAAAAGAAAATTCCCATCGATATCCGGTACAGTGCCGTCTTCCACAATAAGACAGCTGTTGCCTACACCGTGCGCCCTGATCGAGTCCAACATGCTAGCTCCGAAGCCTGATGGCGCCCTGTAGACGACACCGACCAACAGTGGGCTATATCCGTCTTGCACACGGCACCAGAGGGCTGCAAGTTTGTTCTCTTGGTCGCTAATAGCTTCGTCCATATGCGCTTTGTGATCCGCCTTCCAATAGAGCCTTACGCCACCACCAGAACTTCCGCCGTGGCGAGCGGACCGGGTGCGGTGATATCCAGGGATGGACATTTCTAAGTGGATGATTTCTTGGCGTAGTCACGTTTTAGTGATGGTCATCAGATCTGGATGTGTTTCTAAAGTAAGTAAATGAATCTCGTCCGGCTTAGTGCTTAGACCTCGCACATTAGCAGATGAGACACGCAGTCCGTTCGTGTTGGTTACTGTAAGGGGTGACGAGAAGGGCCTCCAACAGGCTTTCGGAGTCACCCAAACTACTCCAAAATCCACAAGCTGGACGTTTGTTTCGCCACTTCCCCATCAGTCTTGACTATCTCTTTTCGTGTGGTTGGTCCATTTATCAATTGATCTTGGTGCATTGCGGTGGCTCAGCTTTGTCAGCTTTTCCATGCAGCTAGCCTAGCACGGCAGGGTTTTGCATCCCGTTCAGGGTGGGTTCAGTTACAGTCAGACGTTATAATATACTGGCGACAGAGATCCATGACGGTTCCTTTGGAATTTCTACAAGAAATGCTGTCAAGATAGCAAACACAGTTTGGGTTGCCACAGCGGCGCTTAATTGAAAGCTTGACGCACGGATGTCGTTACAGGCAGCAGCTACGGATTCAACGATTTTCACTACAGAACAGCTGGCGCATAAAACGATAGAATTTAATTACCAGCCAAACGACGACCTTATTTGCGAAACATGGTTTAGTTGCTATGAAGGCTTGTCAAAATATGCTATGCATGAGCTAAGCGATGTAGCTAAGGTAGGTCTTTTATTGAGGCAGTATGTGCCACAAGAGTATGAAAGGCACTTTAATTATATTTTACCCAAGGACCCACGCAATATACCGTTGCCAGACACTATGAAACACTAGACCAGAATTTTCGGCCATAAAGCTTCACTTTTCTACACACGTTTCCCATGTTTGCGTATTGTTAACCGTTAAGTAAATGATTTTGTAACATACGCAGCTATTTGTAACAAAGAATGTGAACGCTTTCAGCTTAGCCCACTCACAAGTGGTCAATTTAAAAAGCACATTTGCATGTTGTGGATTACG